TGGTTGAATCTAATTTAGATGTAAGTATTCTAGTATATGACACTAAACAAGTAATTGAGTTCAGAAATGAATAATCATGACAGAGTCAAGAAAAAAGTAATAATTCAAAAGAAAAAGAAGGAAAAAACAGGAAGCACTGGTCTTTACTCCGACAAAATTCATGCAAAGAAACAATCTAAATCGCCTTCCCTACAGAAAATACAAACCGCAAAACAAAGCTGTGGCGCGGACACCCATCGCACTCATGCTCTGCACGCGTCCCTGCTCAGCATGCAATTTACACGCCAAATCTCAGGAAAAGAAAACGTTTGATCCTTTCCCTTGGATTTGCGGTACATTTGGGTCGTGGTGAAAAACATGGCTTAATTAAGTGAACAAAAGGTCCAGTTCGTAGAAATTCGTAGGAATGCCACAGAACTGAAACTCAACTTTCTTTTCCGCAGGATACCCAAACAGATTCAGGTTCCAATATCAGAAACGACAAAGCGAAAGTTCGAATAGGAATATTAGCCAGTAAATCATACATAGGCTTTGGTACTGGAGGAGCTATGGGTAACATATCATGTGGATATGTACGTACAGATACAAAACAAGTCCAACCGACATTTGGGTACATATTGATTCGTTAGACAAAACGAAAAAAAAAATTCGAACTCTTGTCATGATTCCACTCCAATAGCATATATCAATATGTAATAATTTCTCTCACTTCATCATATCATGTATAGAATTTTTAGCTTAAAAGATCAAATAATCCAATTTATAAAGATAAAAAATCATGCAGTGCTGATCAAAAAGCAGTGCGGTTTAAAATTGTCAAAGTTTGTCATTTCTTGTCAGTTAATATGGAAGAACAGGCATTACTGCAATCATGGCTGTAACGTTCATATAGCATCTGCTATTTATGTGGAGAAAAGTAAAACAGTCGCAATAGAGCGGATTTCGTATGAGTGGGACACCGTTACCGCACGGTTACCGCACAGTTACCGGACCTGGCCTTCACAATTTTGGGGAACCAATGGGGCACTAGAATTTGGTTACAGTACGATTACGGTCACAGTACAGTACCGTCCGTTTCCCACTCATACGAAATCCGCTCTAAGTTTAGTGATTACTGTTGACTGTCACGCGGAACTAAACCCGCGTTGGCTATTCCCAAAGAGGCTTCGTCAACTGCGTTTGCGGCTCATAGAGCGGATTTCGTATGAGTACGTGGGAAATGGACGGTACTGTACTATGACCGTAATCATACTGTAACAAAATTATAGTGCCCCATATGGTTCACAAAGATTGTGCAGGCCAGGTCCGGTAACTGTGCGGTAGCCGTGCGGTAACGGTGTCCCACACGAAATCCGCTCTACTGATATTTTGTAGATATCCAAGCCTTTGCGTCGACCACGCAACTCAGATTCTCCTTATCGGAATGAATGGATGAATAAATAAACGAATGAGAGCCATTCACTAGTTTAGCCGTTTAGGATAACAAAGTCGAGTATTAAAAAGCTAAGAAAGTAGGGAGATATATTTGTACGTAAAAGTTGTAAAATGAATAAACATAGATATATACCTTGAAGAGGTGTTCATCGATAATCGAGCCATGCATTCCCTGCCTTCAAAATGAATAAAAATGCCAAAGCTTTTGTATTCATACCTTTACCAAGGAAACTTGCACTCGCTTTTCGACCCGTTCTTAAAATTCCAATAACCAAATAACCCACTAAATGTATTTTTCTATGATTTCGGATGATAAATGAATTATGACCATTAAAAAGCTTTATTTTTACAACTGTAAAGGTATAATGGCCTCGTTATCAGCCGCGCGCGCACTGTAAAAAAATCGTGCATAAAATTCCCGCTTTATCCAGTTTTGCTTCATGTTCTTCTGACGTACGTGATTGGTACGTATTTCTCAAGCTATTACGCCTGGTTACGCATCCCCATCACCTGAGTACCCTGAATCACCGGATTTCTTGCTACTGCTTGGAAATGCCTCATTGGTGGATTCACTGGTTGTGTTTTTTGTTACGTCAGCGTCTACCGGCTGCAAATCATTCAACTTCATTCCWAGAAACCATGGATGCTTTCTTATGYYAGGTACATCTATCCGTTTCTTAACATCTGCAACGAGTATTTTTCTAATAAGATCTTTTACTTCGTCGGAGACGCGYCTTCTACGTGAAAAAACAACCTCCCGCGTGACTTGCTCAAGCAAAACCTTCAGGTTAGTATCGTCAAACGGAAGACTTGCACARACCATTGTATAGAGAACAACTCCAAGACTCCATATGTCTGCAAATGTTCCATCGTACGCAATGCCACGTAGRATTTCTGGCGGCGCGTAGGCGTAAGAACCGCAAAACGTCTGACTTAAACGCCTTTTTCCCGTTTCTGGCATGATGTGTTGCGTTCGCGCAAATCCAAAGTCAGAAATAACAATCCGGTTGTCGTGATTAAGCAAGATGTTCTCGCACTTCAARTCTCGGTGCACTACTCCTTTGTTATGGAGATATTCCGTTGCGTTGATCAACTGATGGAAAAACTTCCTTGCTTCGTCTTCAGGAATAGCTCCGTTAGATCGAATATATTCCAGCAAATCTCCATTATCCGCAAGGTCCAAAATGATATAGATGCGTGARCTTGTCTCGATAGCCTCGTGAWGTCCTACGACGTTCTCGTGTCGCAAGTGCTTCATGACTTGAATCTCACGAGGAAGAAACTTGGTCAAGTAATCATCRGGAGCTTTTTTCTTCGTGACGATCTTTACAGCTACTTGTTTTTTGAGTTTTCGTGAATAAGCAGATTTAACAACCGCATAAGAACCTGCRAAGAAGTACACATAGATTTGCCGACAAAAATATTTTGGGATATAATATATATATTAATATATAGTAGCTAGGCATAKTTCTTAAAGAGTGCAACAATTTCTTGTAAAATTTATTCCCTTTTCCACTGACCACTCTTYCCTTAAAATCACGTGACAAAATTAATACCTTCCAGTTAAAAAAGCTGGAAAGTGKGAAAACAACAGCAACAACTTTAAAATCTRGGAAACAACTCAAWRAMTGAAAACATACTGCAGGTTTTATTGCGTGAATCACGTTACTGATTTAGCATTCCTGCATAATTCTCTGATTCTTTTTTCCTAAAAATGTTCTAGAATTTATTTAATTTAACAGATGCAAAGTTGTGCGTACCTTTGCCTAAAGTATCTCCTAAAGCGTAGCCATATGCTGAAAGTACGGGGATGGCTGTATCAAAAGAAGTCGTACTGTGATCAGCTTTTGAAGATTTACCAGATTTTGGACGTTTATTTTCTTTATTTAGCCTTAAGTATCATTTGCAAAAACATGTAGATAAAGTATCATTTGAAAGGCATTGGTCGTACATAACGGCGGGTTTATTGCCTAAAGTATCTCCTAAAGCGTAGCCATATGCTGAAAGTACGGGGATGGCTGTATCAAAAGAAGTCGTACTGTGATCAGCTTTTGAAGATTTACCAGATTTTGGACGTTTATTTTCGGTTTGTTTAGGCTTGGCTTCACTGGCTGTACTGCAGGTCGGGGCATTCTTCTCGCCATTAGTGTTGTCTGGTGGAGAGGACATACGGTGGAAAAATTGGAAAATTTGATTCAGCGTTCTGCCCAGAATCTTGACAATACGAGATCATAGGTTGGCTACTGATCCCTTGCGTCCCCAACCGCAACAACGCGGATGGATGAAGTAGCCTCTCCGCCAGTCGATATTTTGCGTTGTATTCGGACCGTCTCCTCGATTGAAGCGCGCGGCGGCATTAATGACGTCATTAGAAATCGTTTATCTAACTGCAAATGATGACGTCATTTTGTCATGACGTCATACTACGATGGAAATTTAGAAATCATTTTTCATAATATATTGTTAAATATTAGGTATTATAATATGGTTTTTAGCTCATTTGAAGTGTTTTGATTTGATTACTTTCTCGTATTTGGTTTGTTTATTTTTTSCTAGTTTCTACATTAAAATTTATCCGATCTTTTTCATTTTTTCATATTTTCATAGTGATATATATAATTTTCATGTTCATTCTTAAATTAACAAAATTAAGTTGTATGGAGTATTCAATCCTTTAGTTTTGGGCTTCCTGTTCTAGCTCACCTAGAAGACTGGTAACTAGTTGTAAGTTGTAAGACGACAGTCCACAGTCATGTGAATTAACTTCTCTTTTCGGACTTTTTTTGTTCTTTTGTCAAAGGTGAGTAGAAAAATAACAATCAGATATTTATTTCAGATAGTTCAAGTTGTGGTTTTCCTCCAATATACACGTTTAMGGTGGTCTGAGAGACTAGAATCCCTGCAAAGGAATTGTATCAGTTTACCCTTGATCTCGTGTTTTTTTTTACAAATTAAGCTTAATTAATAGAGTCTCCTTGATGAAACTATTGACAAAATCTTTGTTTCTAGATTGTATTCTTCGGGAAACAATATGAATGATTGTCAACGGAATACAAGTAGCAGCTGGAAGGCATATCCAACCACAGGCTCAGAAATGGTAAGCTTACAGACCCTTGTAGATAGTAGAGCCAAAATCTTCCAGGGAATTAGAGGAGTTTGTCCGTACTTCCTAGCAGCATCTAATCTCYTCTTGACAAGAACTGCTAATAGAATTACTCTGTGCGATACATCCTGGTGAATTATGGGATACAACTTAGAAAACATTATAAAACTATAAAAAAATTCAGATAAATGCACAAATCGCTGTGTTAATACCTATGTTGATGATAGAAAGATACTATTTTTGAGGTGCACAAGCACCTTCATGTTGAAGAGGTTCTTTCCTTGTAAGAGTAGTAGTGAGGTTTGGAATGTTTAAAAAACTTATTTTCGCGTGAGTGCCCTGTGATATTTTGGGGTGCACTAGCATATATCTTAAAAATCGCCTGTTAAWAATTCTTTTGACATTGAGTGGTTTTGTGCAACTATTAGTTAGGTAGAATATTGTATGAATTGCATGCGTTCAATTAAAAAATCAAATCTATAAATATTATTATATATTGTCAGGTACTTCTCACACAAAATAAATGTTTTTTTTGAGTTGGTAATTCGAAGATTTTGAAAAATGTCTTTCTCGATTAAATGAAAAAAGAGCGAACTTAATGCAATGCTTTTTATTTTTCTTTCAAAGCAAATTATATCCAATGGGCAGTGTCTGTTTACCTTAAGCACAGACCCTCAGAAAGAACAACAGTGTATGCGTGAACYGTCAAATATGGATTCAGAAGATAGAGCCATGTCAGTGGAAGTAGATTTACATCAGGAGAAGACAACAGACTATGACGATGGAWATGATCCAGGCAAAGACAATGAGCCAAACCAAGACAAWAGACAAGTTGCTGAATGTGTTATATGTATAAAGTGCAATGAATGGTTTGAGTCTATCAACCACTTAAAGGATCACGAAAGAATACAACACAAAGTTCAAAGACCATATATGTGTACACATTGTGGTGAAGAATTTGGACATAATATTAGTTTAAAGGTTCACCTAGAAACACATAAAAAGGATGATGAAAATAACATAGAAACAGAATACAAACAAGTGCAGCAAGGAAGGAAACYGCATGAATGTGCATACTGTCGTAAAACATTTGCACGCAAAAAYGATTTAAAACTTCACCAAAAAGCACATAAGTTCATGGAAAAGAGAAATAGRAAAGGTCCAAAACCTTTCAATTGTGAATATTGTGGTAAAGGATATGCATACAAGAGCAGTCTGAAAACTCACCAAAAAGAACATGAAAAKGCAAATGAGCAAATCAGAAAAACAAAAGAAGTAGTACAGCACTGGGGAGAAAGGAATTATAAATGTCAAYATTGTGGTAAAGTATTTGTACACAAGAACAGTTTAGAGGTTCATCAAAAAATACATAAAAAGGCAGATGATGACAAAACACAATCAGAAGGAGAAGTAAAATCCTTTGAGTGTGCAAGGTGCACACAAACTTTTCAGCAAAAGGACCTATTACTRGACCACCATCGTCAGGTGCACATCAGGAAACAATACACATGTTCTATCTGTAATAAGTCATTTATGTTTCATCAAACACTTAAAGATCATCTTCCAACGCACTCTTTACAGTGCACAGTATGTAAAAGATTATTTATGGAAAAGGGAGTTTTAAAAAGACATTATGAAGTTGTTCATAAAGTAATGGATCCATCTGAGGATGGAGTATTAAGTCAACAACATGCCAACAACAACTTG